CTCATGCGTATTGGATTATGAAAATTAGATACTAAAAAGAAAAAAACGTTTACATATTTTAAGTTCGTGATGCATCGCTATTTATTTAAAACTAAAGCTTTTTTAAGAATGCATAGCTAATAATAATAATAATAATAATAACCACCTCACAACAAATATATTACATCATTTTTTTAAACAAAGCTGCCATATTTTTATCTCACACAGCAGTTTACCTAAGTGAAACACTTTCCCAAAATATCCCTTTCCTTAATATGATGGTTTGAAAAAATATATAGTATTTTATTAAATGAAATAAATACAATATAAAATGTATGTATACAGGTAAAATTATATCCTTTATTTAATAAAAAATAGTACATATAATGATATTTTCACAGCCACTTTTTTTCGAAACTATAAGAACTATACTGTTGACACTTGGCAAAAAGATGTGTTCTGTGAACCGCATTAAAATTTTCACACAAAAATATTAAAAAAACAACACACTTTGGGGGTTCCCATACTTATAACTGAAACTCGAAAAAATCTTTTTCATCAAACCCATACGTGTGGGGTATCTATGGATAGGTCTACAAAAATGATATAGAGGTTTCTAATATCATTTTTTTGTGCTGTTTATGCTTTAGTTTGTGCGAGAGACACTTCCAAAGTGGTAAAATGTGGGGGCACATTGGGCCCCCCTGTAACTTCTAAAAAAAGAGAATGAAAATAATACTTTATTTTTATATTAATATTTTCAATCTTCTTCGTCAGTCGCACTTTGTCGTTTACATAAACGTTTTGAGTCTCTACAACAAACAATGGTTATGATACTAAAATTTTATTTTATTTATTTCATGATACTATTGAAGTTTTGTAAAAAATCATACCTGAAGCTCCTGGAGCCTATGAGGATGTCGTCATTACACCATCAGGTGTTAAAATTCACACACAGTTCTCAGCATACATCACACTCTCTCAATGATTTTAGCTACTTCGGTTTGTGCAAATCGGCAAATTATATTATTTCCGTAAAAATAAAGAAAAAACAAACCGCGCTCGGGAATGTCCAGGTGATGTGTTTTTTGCAACTTCGTGACTCTCCTATTTCCTTATGTCACGCTCAAATTGTCAGATTATCTGCATGTTATTGATTTACCTTACTTTATTCTGACGCGCTCGAGTATCTCCGATCGATCAGCGATCGTTTTTTTTTACTAATCTGAATGGCTGCCCTGGACGTTCGACACTATATGTATAAAGAGCTAAGGTATGGTGGGAGTACTTCACAAGAACCTGCCCTCCCAGGGTTGCTCCCCTTATGTTAATCTGGCATGCTCGCGTAAATCCTAAAATCCCCGCTTCGGCCCCCCTACTATAAGCGCCGTGTAAAAAACACACATCGTCCTCTGATATTTTTTTTTTATGTTATGTTATAGGGGGCATACGAGCAGACGGCTCACCTGATGGTAAGTGATCACCGTCGCCCATGGACACTTGCAACACCAGGAGTATCACAAATGCGATGCCAGCCTTTAAGGAAGGAGTACGCTCTTTTTTTGAAGGTTTTTGGGTCGTATCGGTCCGGAAACACTGCTGGCGACAAAGTATTCCATAGTTATGTCGTACGTGGTAAAAAATTTCGACAAAAACGCACGGTTGTGGATAGATGATGGGGATGAAATTTTTGCCGCGATGTACGATGGCGAAATGCTGCAGCTGGGATTAATCCGAAATTCCTCAGAACACTCCCCGTGATAAATGCGATAGAAGATGCAGAGCGAAGCTACATCCCTACGCAAAGCCAAAGGATCAAGCTGATCGGAAAGGTCCTGGTCGTCGACTATTCGAGCCGCTCGGCGCTGGATGCGATCCAAAGGGAGAAGCTGGTACTAGGGTGCCCCCGCCCAAAAATGAGAGCAGTACTCCATGTGAGGCCGAACCTGTGCCTTGAGCATGGTACCGTAATTACTTACCGTCAGTTCGAATACAAAATCACTTGCTGCCACGACTTTTAGCTTGGCGATGAGTGCAGCGACCGACGTAAGCCCGCGGTGGTCTCCGCTTCTTGCTTAAATTAATTAATCTGGGGCTTCGTATCGTCATTTTAATCATTTACATGTCGAACAGTGCCGAAATTTCGAAGACTCGCAAAAAACAGGGTATATGGTATCAAAATAAAAAACAATATACCTGGATCTCTCTAGAAGCTTGGTTTAATTATATAAATATTTTTAAATTTTAGTAAGATACTTGCATAACAATATTTAATAGCTTATTTATATAATAATAATAACTAAACTAAAATTGCAACGCCCTTGCAGGGTGTCAAATATTTGTGCAACTTATAATATTATTGTATTTGTACTATCTGTGGCATGCAATAAGGAATAAATAAATAAAATTATACCGTACGCTCCAATATATGGCACTATTTTTTTTTAATTTCGATCGAACTTCCTTGGAACCGCTTTTGATCTATACGTTTGTTCGGGTTTACATTCGTCTACTTGTTTGTAATAACCAACTTACCGCACTAATATCACATAACTATTTCGGTTTTGTTTTTATTTCGGTCGAACCTCCTTGGAAACGAGATGCAAGATGTACTTCTAATTTTTACTACACGCACGTAGCACCATTTGGAAATGTGCGCCATTTTCTTATTAGAAAAAGTTTGCTTAAATAAGTATACGTACTATACTCATTACTTAAATAAGTATAGATGTTATGTTTTTATTTATTTTTAAGCATTTAACTGCTAGATGTTTAAATCAAAAGAAAAGTTTACTAGAAAAAAAACCACGCGGACATTGTGGGTTACCTACAATGCGAAGAGATGGCGCTGCCTTGCAGCTTAAGGCTAGGAAAGGACATTGCTCAGCGTCCATACATAGTTAGCCTAAGAACCAACAATCATGAAATATTATTTTCTAGGTTCAAAGTCGTAAGTAAATGACTGTAAAAACAAAAATTATTGACGGACACTTCTGAGAACTTAAATTATTAGGAATACTAAAATTTTTTTTTGAGGTTATGTTTAATATTCAATGAAACATAGGTCAACCTATGAATTTAGTATGAACTCAGTATGAAGTGAATTAATATTACAACTAATTCATTTTATTCGGTGCTATTTTAAAGAATAACTATTAGGAAAAACTTGGTTAGGTAGGAATCATGAATAAAATAAAAACTGTAGTTTTGCTTCTTATTTAATGACTATTTTTCACTTAATTGTATCATATTGTTTATTGTATTTATTTGTATATCACGTTATGTTGTGTAAATATGCAGCGTGAATGTGTATCAGGTGTTCTTGAATAATTTGGCTATTATTATTGATTAGATCCTCTCAGGATGTGGCACAGGTTCACTAGCACTTGGTAATAAGGGCTCTGCTCTTTGGTAATATCGATGGCATATTAGATAACCGATATAGTTAAATTAAAGGAAAAACAATCGCAAATAAACACACACAACAGGTAATCCGAAACGAGAATGCACTTTCCAGTATATTATATACTACTCTTTGGAATGCACGAATGGCACAGGTTACTACAAATGAAAACTGCATGCACCACAACCACAGAGTAAAGAATTTTATGCCGGCCCTTCTCTTGACAACAGTTTGTCCTTGTCATGCTTAGTAAGGAATGAAAAGGACAGACTGATGTCATGTTTTAAAATAGCAAATACGAATAACCAAGTAAAGTGCCGACATTAGGAAGAAAAAGTGTTTTGTTTGCAGCGCTGCCATAGATTATACACATAAAATGGTATTTATTGTCTCAGATTATTTTTTAACTTTTTAATTTAGCTTACTTAACTGGAAGTGTCCGTCACAATCTAAATACTGATAATTATCGCAAAAAATATACTAAGAATTATCATAAATGCCAAATTGGTGTTGGTTCTTAGGCCAATTTTAACATTGTCCTTTCGACGCGGCGAATAGGGCCGTGGTAGCATAATGGTCAGTGCATTCGCCCGGATTGCGAAGGGTACGGGTTCGAGTCCCGTCCGCTGCCTGGTCCGCGTGGATTTTTTTCTAGTAAACTTTTCTTTAGATTTAAGTATAGATGTGTTTTTAATATACCTAATACAATGATGTATTATGATGCATATCTGAGGTATTGCAGTAGATGATGCTTGCTCAACAGATGCACAAGATTACTGTGCGTGACTCGTACAATGTTAGTTCTATCATAAGAACAAACGTTGTTTCTCATTATGGATTCATAACTTTAGTTATTAGTTTGTGCAATAATAAAACATACAAATTACGATACAATATGTTGTGTGATAGTATGAAAATAATTTAATAAATACGTATTTATAATACAACGCAACATTGAATGACACGAAAGTAGGCCACGTGAAATGCTGATGTTTTGTAATAATATTGTGTGTTATATTTTATAAGTGTGTGTGTGTGTAACTACGTAGTGCACTAATATTATTAATAAGTATGTTTTGTACCATTAAGTTTTCTTCAATAAATGGACACCAACCTATCTACGTGTTTGTATTTATTATAACCTGCCGCCATCACCCAACTAGCCTATAACCATATCAAATCTCCCATCCCCTCTATATAGCTACTTTCCCAAAATTTATCATAATATTCAGGAGTTTGAGAATACGATACGAATAAGTAAGAAATAAAAAAAAACAACAAACAATTACTGGTTTTGAATAAAAATATTTTGTATGGTGTCCAGGACAAGTATCTCTCTACGTCATATATTATGATACTCAGTTGTAACTTGTAAGTAAATTTTATAGATAGACATGAAGTATTACAAAATATTTTTTTCATTAAAAAACTATTGAAGACGGAAATGGTTATAAAGAAAAGCCGCTTGTTATTACATAATCTATTTATTCAATTAATGTATTATCAATACTCGTTTCACGCACGACACATTATTATTATCGTTGAACACAATTATGAGATTGTTATTTTCAAATAAGTTGAAATTTTGATGAAATCTATAGTCAGGTATTCCTGGTTCATTAGAGGCAGGTATTTATAAAATAACAAGCGCGTTTTTAAAATTTATGTGTGAACTGCAGCATGACGATGAGGTAGGTGGCGGCGAGGTTGAGCACCACCAGCGGCAGGTTCCAGTCCAGCGGCACGACCTGGCACGCGCGGCTCCGCAGCGGACGCGCATCCACATACGCTATGAACCGCTTCACTTCCTTCTTCTGCTTATCTTCTGCAATATTTTAAATTTGAATTGTACTACAATAGTACTGTGTGTGTATTATAATATTATCAACTCATACTTTTTAAAAGGTACGTATAGGTCACTCTTTGTAACAGTAAAAGGAAAATCATAAACTAAATTAGTGTGGTAAAAAGGTTGCAGTGTTTCACATTCTTAGAACTGTAAGAATATTATAATGAAAGAGTGATATGAAGATAGATTTTTGCCTTCCAAACTACGTAAGTAAACTAAAAAATTATAACTTTTAATTTAACAGTTAATTTCAAAAGTTGTGTTGCTTTGGAACGCATGAGACGAATAGACCGACCTGAGACTAGCAGCAAGTCGTGCAGGCGCAGCTTCGCAGCAGCGCGTCTGCCTGCAGCGCCAGCATGCCGGGCGCTAGGATTGGCCCGAACATCGTTAGTAACTCCTGTGCCCCCTGCGTGTTATTGCAATGAAGTGCGTCAGGAACGCATGACACCGACCTGAGACTAGGAGCAGATCGTGCAGACGCAGCTTGAGCTCGTCCGCCTGCATCGCTAGCAGACCGGCCGCCAGGATCGGGGCGAACATCGTCAGCAACTCCTGAGCCACCTGCGTGTTCAGCGCGATGAAGCGTGGCAGGTTATCCTACAATATTCATCACGTTATATTTAAACTTATTAGAGTAGTAAGTACAGTTTATTATTTTAGTGTAAAAATATTTTATTGTTTAGGCATGCCGCCACATTAGGCTTAGATTACACATTGCAAGATAATTTAAAAGGACATTTTTTTATTGAAACATACCAATTCCATATTTTGCTGTACGACATCTAAGTAAATGGTGACTATTATATCGACGGTGTTATAAACCAAAAAAAGTAGCAACTGAAAAAAATATTAATGTTGTATCACCAATCCACTCAGTAATATTCGGAAAATCATCTTATGGACGGACATCCGTGCTTTTTCGATATTTTTAACTAGTAGCTGAAGAGGCCACAATATTATTTTTATCTTAATGTCCCAGCTTGAAGCACCATAGCTTATGTAAGCGCCCTTACTGTGCTCAATGCCGTCATACAAGCTAAACCTGAATTTGATGTGTTGCGGATGAATGGAAGAATTTCATTATTGGTTACTCATCAATATTTCTTAATGAATGTGTCTTACCATAATATCAAAAGGAGTCTTCACCTTTTCTATAGTATCAGCTAAACTTTTATACAGATGTTGAGATAAAACGGAATTGCCACTATCTACAAAAATAATTAATGTTTTCATGCGCCCATATGCCGCATAGTAAACGAAAAATCCAATTACCATCACGAAATTTGTTGCCACCACAGATATATTGTGGAACACCCGAAAGTGATACGGAATTATACAAAAATCCGAATAAAGGCAATAAATAACAGTAACAAAATTTTGATAAAAAAATACAAACAAAAAGAAGATAATTATTTTGTAATCCAAATTATAATTAGTACTATTAAAGCGGACTGCCACGTCAAATTTGTGCAAGTCAATTAAGAAATTATTAAATGTATATTTAGATGTTAGTAGAATTAACACAAAAGCTAAGTAAAATAGTTCGTCCATAAAAAACCAAATTTCACTGGTAGGAAGTGCTGTAGACGAGCTTATGCAGAAAAACCCAAAATTCACGATTGTAACAAATATCATGGCCAACAGCATAGTATATCCTTTCATTAATATAGTTTTCTTAGCAGATTCGTATCTACAAAATCCGAAATCCAAAGCGAAAATAAAGTTAGTGAAATAGAAAAAATATTTCATCGGTTTCGAGATATCCTTTACGTCTTTAGTCGTCATGAAGAATTGTTGAGTAGGCGTTATTGGTTTTCCATACTTCATGATTGTTATAACGCACCCAGATGTCACAAAATTCAAACCAGGAATAAGTCTTATTACATTACCGATAACTAAAATCCATTACCATAATGATGTTTATTTGGTACGCCTCACAAGAGCAGGTTTCTGTCGTACGTGCACTCTCAAAATGACAAAGAAATTAAATGTAAATAAACTTACATAATGTAGATTGTCGCATTAGAACTTTTCAATAATCATATTATTTTTCCCACCAAGGTCAACCTAAGAATTAATGGGAACTCAGATCTATGAGACCCGAATGGCACCGACTCCAAATATTATTTGACTAAAGATAAAACCGGCCAAGTGCGTGTCGTGCCACGCGCAGTGTAGGGTTCAGTTACCACAATATAGTTGAGCAGGAGTCTTTATATTCTGTATCGGAAATAAGAAAAAACAATTAATATCAATATATGTATCTCAATTAATATACCTAAATCGAAGTCAAACTGCGTCTCAAACTCAAAATCACCTGCGTGTTCAGCGCGATGAAGCGTGGCAGGTTATCCTACAATATTCATCACGTTATATTTAAACTTATTAGAGTAGTAAGTACAGTTTATTATTTTAGTGTAAAAATATTTTATTGTTTAGGCATGCCGCAACATTAGGCTTAGATTACACATTACAAGATAATTTAAAAGGACATTTTTTTTATTTTTTTTTTTATTATTTTTTTTTTATTGAAACATACCTATTCCATAGTTTGCTGTACGACATCCAAGTAAATGGTGAAATTCAAAATCAATTCCATTTTTTTTTTTTTTTTTTTTTTAATCCTCTCTGGAGGCGGCCCAGCGCCTCCCGGTGCTTCACGCGCCGAACCGCGTCCCCCCCATCTGGGGGTGTGATCTCCCAGCGGCGTAAGTGATGGCTGGTACTATGGCGAATCTGTAGATTGCCTCCACATTCTCGCCGCTGAGACCCCAAGGTCTTACAAACAGTGATATCCTTCTAAACATGCGGGTGGCTCGTCCAATGATGTGCGCAATTTGCCCCGAGAAGTTTAGTTTGTAGTCTATAATGACCCCAAGGATTCTGGTGCGCTTCTGAAAGGGAATAGACTGGTTGGACATATGCAATCGTGCACCAGCCGCCCTGGGGTAGAAGGCCAAGGTGTTGGTCTTGTCGGGACCAAACTCCAGCTTGACCGACTCCCCCCATTCAGCAATGATCCTGAGTGCCTCATTGGCCGCCCCCTTGTAGCGTTTCAACGCCTTGCGCAGCGATAATCAGCAGCACGTCGTCCGCGTAGGCCTGCAGAGTACACTCCTTGGGCAGGGTCTTTGCGAGCAGACCGTCCAGCACTAAGTTCCAGAGTGCAGGGCCACAAGCCGACCCCTGCACGCAGCCCCCCCCCCCCTTTCGATCGTTCTGACGGCAGTCGCACCGCCATAGTTCAGAATAACCTGCCTGTCGTCGAAGTAGCTTCTCACGAGCCTGTGGAGGTTGGCCGGGCACCCGGTCTCAATAAGCCTTTGGATGATATAGGGCCACCAGGCCCTGTTAAAGGCGGCTTTTATGTCCAGTGAGCAACAACGCACAGCTTCCCCTCTTGCCGTTCCTGATAATGTTAAGAGCGTTGTTGAGAGCAGAGGTGGTGGATTTGTGCCTCTGGAACTCGACGACAGTTCGGTAGACCGCCGTACACCGGTCGCGTCAAGAGTCCGGTCGAGGTCGGTCGAGCTACCGGGTTGGTCGCGCTACCGGGCGAGGTGGGTCGTGCTACCGGCTGGGTCGCTCTACCGGCCCAAATGGTAGACCAACCACTGGAGCCGAGTGCACGTGTGCACTCTCCTCAGCCTCCAGACGGTGACTTGGGTGGTAGGTTAAGTTGGGTTGGGTTGGGGTTGGGTTGGGTTGGGTTGGGTTTTTTTTTTTTTTTTTTTTTTTTTTTAAAAGGTATCCCCGATTTGTGTCAGGTCTTTAGCTATCTTTTTTGTTTTGCTTGATTCTATTTTTTTTTTTAGGGTTGTTACGTCATGCTTGCTTTTTTGCATGTTTCTTTGGTGATTTTTCTTTTGCACTTTCTTTCTTTTTCTTTTTCTTTTTTACAGTAATCTTATTTTCTAATACATTCTTTCCTTCTTGTTTTATGATTACATTTATATATTCAGCTAATTTACACACACTGTTTACTGTTTACATTTACATTCTTAATTATCAATTACGATTTTCTTATATTCTACATTTTGGCTTATATCTACTTTGAATGTTCCATTTACATTTTACATTTTTCCTTTTCGGGTTCTTATTGCCTATATGTTACAATTTTATAGTGTATATACTGTATATAATTTACCTATATTAGTCGTCCTTATTTCTTTCCACGACTCTTTTTATTATATTCTTACTATATTTCATAAATATTTCCCTTTCCTTGCTTTCTGTCATGATTTCCCATAGGTTTCCTTTTCTAAGTGGTGTGTTTAGTGATGTCTGTGCGTCGTGTCTTTCTCCGTTATAAAGGGGGCATTCCAAGAGGACATGGAAGATGTCCTCTTCGGCGTCTGGGTCACATACGCATCTCGGGGTGGTTGGTTGGGTTGGGTTGGGTTGGGTTGGGTTGGGTTGGGTTAGGTTAGTAGATGAGATCCGCCCTCTTTGGAGAGGGAAGCGACTGTGCAGTGTCGCTACCGGACGCGTCCCCCGGGTTGTGGATAGGGGCACGCCCTCCAGATATGGGGGGTACCGGCTTCGGCCGGCGCGGACAGCAACTGCACGAGGTGGGGGCGATTCAGCCCATGGCGCGCTCGTGCGTGTTAGAGAGGGGGCAAGTGTCCCAGGTTCTGGGTCGGCGTCCCAGACGTTTCTGGGTAGCGGCGGCGTGGATCGACGTGGGCGACGGGTCCGCTGGTTCGCTTACACCGGACAGCGGATAGGCTTCGGCCACCGTCGGCCAAACCGTTACCCCACATTGAGTGGGGCCGGGGGGAGGCACTTAACCGTGTCTCTTGCGAGGAAGACGAACCTCAATAAAAAATCCTCAAAGTCCTGGCATTGGGACACGTGATGTCGGGGCGCCCGCTTTTGCGGGTGGCTGGTGGAGTGCATCAGCCCATTAGCGCCAACCTCAGATACCGCCCGACCTCTGAGTGTATTAGGGTTACCCAGGTGCAGGGGGCACCGCCTGGGTGGACATCGTAGATCCGCCATACTCGTGGGATAAGTTATGGAGACACTAAATTTTAAAAATCTTTTTGGAAGTAAGGGCGAAAAGTCCGGAGAGAAGGAGGAAAATAAGAAGGCTGCTTCAAAGCAGTCCGATAAGGCAACAACATCTGCCGCGGAGGAGAGAGAAAAAGAGGCTCGCTTTAAGCGACCTGAGGTGAGGACACCTGTGGTTCGATTGACGCGCACGCCTTTACCATCTATGGCGGCGTCTGATAGAAGCAGGAGCAGAAGCGCTTCCTCTTGCATATCGGACACGAGTGAGTCAGAAGATTCTATATACCTAGAATCTCAAAGTGGGCGAAAACGATCGCGTTCTAAAGGGCTTTGTGCGTCGGGTGACCAAAGCTCTGAAGCAGAGGGTAAAAGAGCGAAGGCTGATTCTATTGCTTCTAAGCGAATGGAACAGCAGCTGCTGACAGAATCGGAGTTAGCTGAAAAAGCGAGGAGGGTATTACCTCCCCGTGACCCGGATTTGGAAATTATTAAGGTGGACTGGCGAGAGGTGCCGACTACCGATATTTGCCAAAGTTTGCGAGACACAGCGGATGTGATTAGGGAGGTCGCCACAAAATCAGGCAACCTAAAAGGAACCTACATTCGCACACTAAAAGACGCGGCTGAACACATTCGTTCGGCTATGGTGGAAATTCCTACCCGTAGTGGGTCGGATGAGTACGCGAAGTTGGAAGCCAGCTACAAGTCGCTGCAGTCAGACTTTACGCGGATGCAGTCGGCTTATTTGCGGCTGCGGAAAGGTAATGAGGACCTGCGTGAGGAAATGGGGGCATTGAAAAACGAAGTGGCTCGCCTTGGTAAGGCACCTGCGGCCC